CCTCCACGGGGGACAGCTGGGTGGCAGCCTCATGGACCTCCACGGGGGACAGCTGGGTGGCAGCCTCTTTGACTTTCCTAACGAGAGACAGCCGGGTGGCAGCCTCTTGAATTTTCCCCATGGGAGACAGCCGGGTGGCAGCCTCTTGGACTTTCCCCACGGGAGACAGCTGGGTGGCAGCCTCTTGGCCTTTCCCCACGGGAGACAGCTGGGTGGCAGCCTCTTGGACTTTCCCCAAGGGAGACAGCCGGGTGGTAACCTCATGGACCTCCACAGGAAGACACTGGGTCTCATCCTCTTGAGAAAGGTTCTTCTCTGTGTCGAAGAAAAGCAGTGGAAGGACACAGGTAAGGACAGTCACCCTTGGGACTGTGGGGGGTAGGGGAGACACAGGTTCCCAAACACAAGGCAATCTGGCCTCCTACAATATTTCTTTTTTGTTTTTGGTTTTTCAAGACAGGGTTTCTCTGCAGCTTTGGTGCCCATCCCGGAACTAGCTCTTGTAGACCAGGCTGGCCTCGAACTCCCAGAGATCCTCCTGCCTCTGCCTCCCGAGTGCTGGGATTAAAGGAGTGCGCCACCACCGCCCGGCCTCTCCTCCAACATTTCTGAAACCCACTTTCCCCAGGGGATCCCTCCCAAAGAGCCAAGGTTTGTCAGCAAGACAGCCCTACAACTCCCAGTCCATACCTTGCCTCATTCGCGGGCGGAAATAGTTGACCAAGTTGGATATCATCTGGGAAACGTCTTCTTGGTAATGAGGAGGCCCGAATATCAAAATCTCTGCATCTTCTTCAGGACGCCAATGGGTCACTTTAAGCAAGGTCCGTGACATACTCTCGACATGTGGAATGTACTCTCCATCCTTGCCTGAGAAGGGAACAGGAGGAACATGAGGGTGAGGTGGCTCCCACTTCTTGGCACATTCATTCAGAGGTTGAGGCAGCTGGATAGAGGTGGCACAGGCCTGGGGCCACAGCCACTGGACAGGCTCTCTCTATAGGACATACTCAGGCAAAGGAGTCAGGAAAAGGTTACCTCTTGCCTTCCCTCCCCAGGTCACTCACCAAACATTGCTTCCACGAGCCAAGGATTCACATACACTGTCTTTGGATCATCCAGATGCTCGGTAAAGAACCACTTGGGCAGCGTGCTGGAGTCTCCGACCACTTCAAATAGGGTCCCTTCTTTGTGCTTCAGCTGGACCAGCGACTTATAAGTCTTAAAAGGGGCCATAGTACACCAGTATCGTCACAAACAGCCTAGGCAAAGCTAAACCCAGTAAACCCAAAAGAAGCCTCTCTGGAGAGCTGTATTTCAAGGGCTGTTTGCTAGCCACTCCCTACTTTTGTCCTCCAATTGGCTTTTAGGCCTTGCTTCTACTCCCAGAAGCCCTGCCTCTCCTCACCTGGTCTCATGTGGTCTGCACCTGAGAGGGAAGCCTTGCACCTAGACTGGTTTCTGATCTTCAGGAGCTTGTTGGTGCTGGGGCTTAGTAGCACATGTCGTTAATCACAGCATTTGAGAGACAGAGAGGCAGGCTGATGATCTCTGTGAGTTCCAGGCCGGTCAGTGCTGCACAGAGAAACCCTGTCTCAAAAAACAAAACAGACAGGGCAAAAAAAAATATGTGTTGGGAAGCAGCAGATATCCTAACTGTGAACACAGGGCGTTGACAACAGTCTACCCAACATCAAGACAGACTCTTTTTTGTTTTAATGTTGATTTTTTTTAATTTATTTATTTATTAAAAATTTCCACCTACTCCCTTCCTCCCATTTCCCTCCCACTCTCCCCCCTCCCACTCAGGACAGACTCTTACCAGACCTCAAGCCCAATAAGTCTCACATATTCCCTATACCTTAGCTCTGAGTGAGTTATCTGCCCCTAGTAACAAGTTTCCACATCCTTTTTCTATTTCCTTTGGTTTTCGTTTTGTTTTGTTTTATTTGTTTTGTTTTTGAGACGGGTTTCTCTGTAGCTTTAGAGCTTGTTCTGGAACTAGCTCTTGTAGACCAGGTTGGCCTCGAACTCACGGAGATCCGCCTGCCTCTGCCTCCTGATTGCTGGGATTAAAGGCGTGTGCCACCACTACCCGGCTTGTTCCTTTGGTTTTGAGACCGGGTCTTGCTAAGTACTCTGCCAGGCAGGGATCACAACACGCTGAGGTCCATTAGGCTTCCCAATTTCTTTTACTTTCAAGAGACAGCTGGAGAGAGACGCAATAGCTCTGCGCTCTGAGGCAGACGCATGAAGCTCTGATCCATGATGGACGGAGGCTAGAATCTTCCCGTAACCAAGCACACATCCTACCACCTGAAAGAAGACCGCCATCGCTGTCTAGACGTCCAAATCTTAAATTCACCTGGTTTTCATTGCTGTGCTGACAGGGCTCCTAAGGTGAACAGATGAAGTAAACTCAGTTCTAGAGCAGGAAAAAAAAAAAAAAAGAGAGACAGCTGGGCAGGGACAAGAGAGAACACCTGTAGTGAAGACAATGCCACACACGTGTCTTCCTAACCAGAGAGATTATTTGTAATGCCTCCTTTCTCTAAACAACAGAATTACATTTCCATTTAGTTTCCTGTGCACTTTGCTTATTTGCTGATATTTAAGAAAATGAAATAATTTGTCGGGTAGTGATGGGGCACACCTTAGAGCCCAGCACTTGGGATACTTGGGGTAGAAAGATCTCTGTGTAAGAAAAAAAAAAGGAGGAAGATAGAGAAAGAAAAAAAGGAAGGAAGGACAGAGAGAGAGAAAAAAAGATGGAAAAAAGAAAGAAAGGAGAGAGAAAGAGAGAGAGAGGAAGGGAGGGAGGAAGGAAGGAAGGGAAAACGAGATCACCTCCTGGGGTCAGCAGTCTAGGCCTCATCCCCAGCCAGAAGAAACCCCAGAACCCAGTCAGGCTCTTCTTTATCTTCTCTGCATGGAGGGTCTAGGCAACTGTAGGTATTTAATACACCCCAAAGGGTCCTGAGATGGGAACAGAATAGGAATTAAGAGGCAGAAGAAGACAGAACCCATTCAGATAACCAAAGTGGACCTATAAATGTCTGTGGGTCGGCAGACCAATGTTTAAAATATTTTTATTCTACTTTTATTATTTTTAATTATGTGTAAGCATGTGTGTGCGTGTGTGTGTGTGTGTGTGTGTGTACGTGTGTGTTGGTATTATGCAATAGTGAGTGTTGGCACCCTAGGGAGACCAGAAGCATTGGGTCCCCCATAGCTGGAGTTACAAGCAGCTGAGTCACCTGATGTAGGTGCTAGGAGTCAAAACTCCTCCAAGTCTGTTGGGTGTGGTAGTACACACCTTTAATCCCAACACTTGAAAGGCAGAGGGAGATTGACCTCTGTGACTTCAAGGTGTGGTGGCACAAGCCTTTAATCCCAGTGCCTAAAGGGCAGAGACAAACAGATCTCTGTGAGTTCAAGGGGTGGTAGCACACACCTTTAATCCCTATGCCTGGGAGGCAGAGACAGGTGGATCTCTGAGAGTTCAAGGACAGCCTGGCGTACAGAGTTTTCCAGGACAAAGATTACAGAGATGGAGTCTCAAAAAATAAAAGTAAAAATAACCAAAATAGAGTTAAAATAAAGCTGTACAAAGATGGAAAATACACAGAGAATCTTGATACTGTATGCTATTATGCTCTCTTTGAATTGTTTGAATGCTGAGGCAGGACCAACAGCTGCTAAAAGATATGTGTTTATAAATGCTGCTGAACTAATCTATCATAGATATTTTGAAAATGCCTTGACTTTGAAATTTGGATCTAAGGACATGATGCTTTGGAAACGAGTTTCTTATTTTGTTTTCACAGAGGGTGAGAGTCTGTGGATTGTTTCTATTCCAAAATGGTATGATGGACCATGCCTTCCTGAAGGGTTGCTGTGAACACCTTTAAAAATTACTTCACTCAACTGCCAACTGAGATAAACCTGCCACACAGGTTACACCCTAAACGATCTGATTAGCAGTGCCCCCATTCAGCAGGAAGCAGTTTGGAGAGAAAAAGCTGCACCCATGTTCCCAAATATGGTTTATAAAAGTTCTTTTACATTTAAAGGGGGATATGATATAGATATGAATAATTTGTATTGGTATAGATTTTAAGGTCAATTTTGTTATATGTATATGTATATGTATTTCTGATATTGATTAAGGTATTGTGATTGTGTAGTTCATTTAAAATGCAATGTATAATTAGGAAATATAGGTTATTAATGGATAATCAACAATAATAGTCAAGCTTGTAGTCATGTTAGATTTTCTAGATATATAGAGATATAGCTCAGTTAAATAGACATTCTTCATATCTTTCAAAGACTGCAGAATATGGCATTTAATGTTCTAATAACTTAGGGTTTTTCATGACAATGAGACACTCTGCTCCTGGCAGCACCAATCTACTTCGAGAGGAAAATGGGCATTGAAGAGGATCCTTATGGAGTTTGATAGCCATTTGGGCAAGAAACTGCTCTTGCCTGGACTGTTGCATAAACTGGACACAAAGAACCCACAGAAAGAGGACTGCTGAACATGCCTAAAGGTGAGATGATCTTTCGGGGTTCCTGATTCATGAGAGTCTGCAAGACATTTTCCAGGACACAACAGATAGTGCCTGAATTGCCTTTGAAATTTCCTGCTTCATGGAAATGTCTGCTGGAAACTATAGGCCTGTAGGCCAAAGATGGATGCCCCAATGGTACAGAGGAACTTTGGGTGACTGTCCAGGCAGCGAGATGTCTCTGTCATTTCTAGAGTTTGGAAGTTGCTTATTTCTTATTTGCTTAGGTAATATTATATCCTTCTGGAGACTTTGATGAAGTTGAAGAATAGATATATAGTTATTGTTTTCCTTAGTTATGATAAAGATGAAATAGATGTAAATATTTTAACTGTAATTCTTGCTTAATAACTGTTTTGTTGGGGCTGGCGAGATGGCTCAGTGTTTAAGAGCATTGCCTGCTCTTCCGAAGGTCCTGAGTTCAATTCCCAGCAACCACATGGTGGCTCACAACCATCTGTAATGAGATCTGGTACCCTCTTCTAGCCTGCAGGCTTAATAAATAAATAAATATTTTTAAAAAAATGTTTTGCTATATGTAATTTTGCTGTGTTAAAGTTAAAGCCTTCCTTTTTTTGTTTAAACAGAAAAAGGGGAAATGATGGAGGAAGGTCATTGGTTAAAAAAAT